CAATTACAAGTCTAACAGCAAACTCCAGCCCTAGCAATACAGCTTTAATAATCTGTTTGTCTGCATGTCCACAGGTTTTCAACAAAAAATACACATTTATCTCTAAAAATAGAGGTGTGTTTGGAGGATATAAAAACCATGTTGAGACATTCTTAGTAATGTCGGTTTGACCCTGTCCGTCCGTCTGTGTCTGTTGTGAATCACAACCATGTAGCATCACAGTGAAAACATCCATTAGTGCAGAGCCACATCAGAGTCGGGGGGTTGGAGGAGGTGCAGGGGCAGATGTGTCATTGTTTGGAAAGGTATCTCATGTCGGCTGAAGGGATGATTTATTTAGCAGAGAATAAGTAGTCGAGGAATGAAAATGATTTGCGTGTGAAAATGCAGTGATGGAGATCAGCAGAGAAGAAGATGAGACGATAAGACGCCAGGATGAGGTGATGCTCGGTGAAAGGATAGAATTACACAGTTTGGGATTATCTGCTCTCACCTAGTTCATAGGTGAGAGACAGGTGAGGCGTTGGTTGACAGGCTGAGAGATGCTGCAACTTCAAAACATCTGTACCTCAGAGGTCTGGTCCACTAAAACACCTTGAAAACATCGGCCAATCATGGGAGAGCATTTCATCTGTATTTAGAAAAAATTACCTTGACACAAGCCATCACCTCATCACCCTGTTGTTATCCTCATGTTGCCCTCACCTTTATCAGAATCAGAATCAGCTTTATTGGCCAGGTGTGTCGGATACATGAGGAACTTGACTCTGGTACATCGTCTCTCAATGTGTATGTACGTATCCCCATGCAAGGGGCAAGTAAACAGTAGACCAGCATAAGGCTGTGTAGTATAACAAAATAAGCAGTATTAACAGGCAGTAAACAATGCAGACAGACAAAGGAATGCTCATTGAAATGAGATAAACATAAATAAAAATAGCGTACTTAAAACCAGAGACCTGTCTGAATCTGTATAATCTGTACAAGGTATATTTACAGGTATTGCACTGAGGGTTATTGTCCAGTCATACTGTCATTGGTTAACTGTTCATCAGAGTGATGGCCTGGGGGAAGAAACTGTCCCTCTGCCTGGTTGTCTTCGTGCACAGTGACCTGTAATGCCGTCCAGAGGGGAGGAGTTCAAACAGATTGTGCTCCAGGGTGTGAGGGGTCTGCAGTGATCCTCTCCTCCCTCCTTTTGACCCGTGAAGTGTACAGGTCCTCCATGGAGGGCAGGCTCACACCAATGACCTTTTCTGGATGCTGGTAAAACTAACATCTATCATGCATAACCCCTCCCATCCCCTGCACCACACAGTGGTGGCTCTGAACAGTTCTTTTAGCACAAGACTGTTACATCCCCAGTGTAAGAAGGAGCGTTACCGCAGGTCATTCCTCCCCACAGCCATCAGACTGTACAACACATCACTGCAGTGATAAACTAGGTGAAATTATGAGGGACTATGTAATAATCTACTGAGGTGCAATATTCAGCTCCTGGGGGTGAAATGTGTAATATCTTGTTCCTGATCTCTCTCAAATACTGTACATTGCCCTGCTTTAGGTATTTTTGAGTAGTTGCTCAGAGATCCTTATGGCTGAAACATAGGTTTCTCTCCCCCATTGTGGGATTAATTGTGTGAGTAATATTCGATTGTTCTTGATTTCCTGGTTGTTTAGTCTCTACTGCTGTTCCTGATTCTCTCCAGTGCTGCTCTGCCCTGTTTTTAGGTGCCTTGATTTGCTTATTTGTGCTGTGATAAATGTAATGCTCTGATGGCGCTACTTGTGTGTATGGGTTCTAATGCGTTGTTGCCTTTATGTAACTGTTTATTTTAAGACTAAGTGTTCTTTGTTCCTACGTACTTATGTATGCATGCGCCGCGCGGAGCAGCAGCAAGTTACAGCAGCTATGTCCTCGTTGTATTCTTTTCCGTGTTTTTATGAAGTTCTGTTCTTATCAAGAGTCAAGTCAAGAATCTTTATTGTCATTATGCAAAGCACAATGAATTTTTTTCCGGCAGCTCTCGGCTTAAAAGACAGACATATTATTTACATAACACACAATTGTATAAGTCAATATAAAAATATGAACAAATAAAAAGGGATGTATGGGACCTAATCAGGTCAGCAGCATGTTACAGCAAGAGCGTAGTAACATTATAAGGTGCACCTCAGTGCAAATCTCAGTCTTTAGGAAGAGGTGTGAGGTCCAGTGTTCTGTGTCTGTCCATAGGGGGGAGGTTGTGTGTGTGACTAGGGTTTAGGGGGGGTGATTGATTTCATAGCTCTGGGGAAGAAGCTGTGTCTCAGTCTGTTTGTTTTAGTCTTTATATTCCTGTACCTTTTCCTGGAGGGAAGAGCCACAAACAGACTGTTGCCTGGGTGGGTGGGGTCTGCAGCAATCCGTCCTGCCCTCCTCTGGATTGGGTCAGTGTATAGTGAGTCCAGATCCAGAAGAGGACTCCCTACAATGCCCTGAGCTGCTCTCACCACCCGGGTCAAGTCCTTTCTGTCCTGTGCAGTGCAGCTCCCGTACCACACTGTCACACTGAGACAGAGGATGCTCTCTACTGTCGCTCTGTAGAAGTTTGCAAGCAACTGAGAGGAGAGACCAGCGTGTTTCAGCTTCCTGAGGAAGAAAAGCCTTTGCTGGGCTTTCTTCACAGGATAGGATGTGTTCAGGTCAGATGTGATGAGGATGCCCAGGAACTTGATGTTATCCACTTGCTCCACCACCTCCCTGTGTATGAGAAGAGGAGCATATTTTGTCTTCCTGTACCTCCTATAATCCACAATGACTTCCTTAGTCTTGTTGGTGTTCAGGACAAGATTGTTATCTGAACACCACCTTGTCAGGTGCTGGATCTCCTTTCTGTAGTGAGTCTCATCATTGTCTGAGATGAGACCCACTACGGTAGTGTCGTCTGCAAACTTCACAACTGTGTTTGTGGGGTGAATAGCATCACAGTCATGGATAAACAGAGTGAAGAGGACTGGGGCTGAGCACACAGCCCTGTGGTGTGCCTGTGTTCAGGACCAGTGTGAATGATGTGCACCACTTGAGGCCTGTTAGTGAGGAAGTTTTATGTGTCTGTTCTTATGGTGTTATGTTGTCTATTGCTGCTGTAACACAGAATTTTCCCCACTGTGGGATCAATAAAGTACCTACTCTACTTGTGCAGTCCTGACTGTCCACTGAAGTCTGTACTTCTCCTGTTTGGTTGCTGAGCCAAACCAGACAGTGATTGAGGTGCAGAGAACAGACTCAATGGTTGCTCTGTAGAACTGTATCAGCAGCTCCTGAGGCAGGTCGAACTTCCTGAGCTGGTGCAGGAAGTTCCAGTTATCTGGAAGTTTACCTGTAACTCACAGCCTTGGCAGTACCCCCATCTGCTGCTTCCAGCTCATCTGATTCTACCATCTCTAATGGTCAACCACCAAGTGCTCTACACTCACCTTGACCTTCTCCTTCAGGTGGATTTCAATCTGCACTTGGTCTTTTCACCTGCAGCTGAACTCTGATCTTACCTGTCTATAGATACTCACCTGTGCATTCATCCCTCTGGAACAAAACATACAGTTTATTTATTATTTCCTGTGTAAAACCAGACTTGCATTTTCAAAATGCAGCTCAGAGCTGTTCGATTGTAGTGTGCTGGGATCAGAGTAGATGGTTCAGCCTCTCTGAACACTGGACGTGATCACCTACTGATGGATGTTAATGTAAACGGCTGGGAAGGTAACGAGTGATGTCAGGAAACGAGTAAAGGAATGAGTGATTTTAATGGAAGTTAGTGACAGAGACTAGCAGAAACCAGAGATTTAAAGGTTCACCGTGAGGACAGCACCATCCTTCCTGTCCCGACATGTCCTTGTCAAAACAACATTCATTACTCATCCGGACTGAAACCGGCCGACATCCAAACACCAACGCTTTGATCCTCTGCTGCAGGGTCCTCGCCCCGAGGCTCTGAACCCTGGAGGGGACACGGTCCTGACAGCCAGAACTCCGCCTCAGTGGTGGTTTTGTTTAAAGGAGCAGTCCAACTTTTAGTTAAATCCTTCAGCTCCAGTGACATTTGTTGAAATTACAATTACACTGTAATTGTTGAAATTACAGTACATTTAGTCAATCTTTAGGTAAAGAGGAGAGGGGAGGGGAGGAGAGTAGGGGGCAGGAGAGAAGAAGAAGAGAGGAGAGGAGAGAGGAGAGGGGAAATGAGAGGGAAAAGAAGAGGAGAGGGGAAAGGAGAGGGGAGGAGAGAGGAGAGGGATGATGGGAGAGCTCTGTTGGGATGATAAGGCCCTACGAGGTCTTTAAGATATGATGGAGCCTTGTCATTAGGGGCTTTGTATGTTAGGAGAAGCATTTTAAATTCTATTCTGGATTTTACAGGGAGCCAGTGGAGAGAAGCTAATATAGGAGAGATATGATCTCTCTTGCTAGTTCCTGTCAGTACTCTTACTGCGGTATTTTGGATTAACAGGAGGTTTTTAAGGAATTATTGGGACATCCTGATAGTAAAGAGTTACAGTAGTCCAGCCTAGAAGTAACAAATGCATGGACCAGTTTGTCAATTTTCCATATTATAAGTGTATAGGGTAACTCCACCTTCACCAGCTGCCACGTTAAAGTGATGAACACAATAATGCATCAGTCTTTATAATCCAATAGCATCATTTACATTACTGTGAAAAGGGCCGTTCTGCAGAATCACTACTGTTACTTTGGCTGTTTCAAGTATATTTTGATGCTGATACTTTGGTACTTTTACTTAAGTAACTTTTTGAATGCTTGACATTTACTTTTATTCAAGTGAACAATCTGAGTACTTCTTTCACTGCATTTGTTTTAATCGTAGACAATAATGTCAGTTTGAGTTTATATGCAAAGCTTAGAGTTGTCTGTGCTCTGGAAGGCATTTTCTGACATTTTATTCACTGAACAATCAGTCTACTATTAAACAAAAAGATCTTCTGTTTGTTACTTTGCATGCAGAACAAATTGAAACAACCATGGGGTGGTAATCTAACAGTTTTGTTGAAAGACACACCAAAAATATACTTTCAAAGGGGTGTTACACCATTTCTTCATGCATTAATTGGGGAAAATGTTTCCATTGTGGTTCTAGTTTTTCGTAAAAAATGAGTCTCCTCAGAATCAAACAGAAAAACTGAGTCTGTCCAACAGTTTGTGTAATGTGAGACTTCAATCCACATCAGTTTTATTCAGTTTGTTCTTTCAATTACAGACAGCCCAGTTTAAGCTGAAAGTCTATCTGATTCAATAAATAACAGAAACATCTAACATCCTGTGTGTTGTTTACTCATTTCTGAAAGCAGAAACACTAAATTAGATCATGTGTTATATAAACCTGAAGACCTCTCTCTGTCTCAAAATGACAGAATCCTGAACTTTGGACAAAAACTGCCATCACAAGATTCAGGTTTCTGGGTGTTCACTGTCTACTCGGCAGTCACTCACTTGCAAATGGGGATGGTTTTGTTTGTTCTCACGTGACCCACTCCTGGGGACACAAAAAGAGGTGACACAGCACATTTTGGGGGACTCTACAAAACATGACACAACTCATTTCTGGGGACTCTAAGACCTGACACAACCACCATTAACTGAGAAGTGAAAAACTCCATTCACTGAGGAAGGCAACAGCCTCTGTCTGAAAGCTGCAGAAACACCCAGTAAATTGAGCCTTGTGTTGAGGCTTTCTTCTCAAACAGGATCCTGGTTCCTGAGATCCAGTTTGACTGTTTAAAAATTTAAGTTTTAATGTGAGCGATCTCTTCAGTTTTTGTCTTGAAAAGGGGGTCACTGGAAGGAAATTTTGAGAACAAGTGAGGACTCCATGAATGTCTTTTTTCATGGACCACATCATCCTCTCAATTCCTGATTCGTCCAGATGTACCAGCAGGTATGGACAGGTACAGCATCTGTTTTGGAAGTGGCAGTAGTAGCAGTAATGGTAGTGACCATGTAGAGGTAGTGCTGCATTAGTAGTCATCGTAGCGGTATGTGTTGGGGTAGGCATAGCGGTAGTCGTAGCCGTCAGCCCGCTCTGTTTTGGTTTGCAGAGGTTCAGGTTGAATTGACAGAGACTTGATGACTCCGCCAGACTCCTCTGTAACCTTGACCTCAGTGGAGTATGAGGAGGCGGAGGCATCGTCCATTAGGGAGGAGCAGCTGGGGAGACCTGGGAGTTTGGGGGTGGAGCAGGGCTGGTAGGATGAGAGTCCAGCTGGAGGTTTGGGACATGACTGATAAGGAGGGGGTGGTGCAGGAGGTTTTGGACAGGGTTGGTAGGAGACCTGAGGAGGACCAGAGATAGTGTCAGTGTGAGAGTAAAGTTTCATTCCTGCAACCCCTTAACAACTGTTTGTGGACCTGTTGACCTCAATTTACAGAGGATTTACCTGGGTCCACTTGCAGATCTCCTGTTGTTATGGTTAGGGACTCTTAAAAAGTCCTCACATCTACGGTCTGCACGTGACCCCTCTTGGCGAACTGTACCCACCTTGGTTGTTGTGGTGATGATGGTCTGCAGTGCTGCAGGGGACCCTGGGGCATTACCGGGGAAACGGCAGGGGTACTCTGCACTGTAGTAATGGTGGTTGTCACTATAGGGGGTGGAGCCTTTTAACAGCTCCTTCCAGCTTGGAGGAGGCTTCGACTGGGGGTCAAAAGAAGAGGAGGAGGAGAGAGGAGCCGACGATGAAGAGGAGGACGAACAACCCAGGACAGGGGCCACTCTGCACACAAATCAGGATCTGGTTACAATTGTCAGTACAGTATGTAGTTTAAACTGTCAGACTTTGGTTTAGACTTGTTAGGTCTGCCAGGACTTGGATTTGTGATCTGGTTCAAACTTGTTAAGGATCTGGTATAATATAAAATCCCAGGATCTAATCAGAACCTGATATAAATGTGTTTAACATTACAAGGATCTGGTTTAGAGAGTGTGAGGCTGACCGGGGGTCACAGAGGTCAGAGGTCACGGGATATGAAGGCGAGGTCAGGTATCCCTGGAATTCATAGCTGGGCCGACCCATGTAAAGCCTTGGATTGGCTGGTTTCTGCAGTGTGGGTGGGGTCTCTCCCAGTGCACTGTGGGGGTTGTAGTAGGGCTCTGGGCTCTGGAATGCTGGGTAATGCTGTGGGACGTTTGGTTCGATGAAGGAGATTCTGTCTGCTGGCTCAACACAGGAGAGGAGGGTGGGGCCCAGAGCCTGAAACAACAAACAAAGAAACAATAAAGAAACAACAGCAGCATTAGAAAACAGTTGTTGTTAATGTTCTGTGTTGTCAACCTGTGTTTCAATGAGTCGTCTTTTAGGTGTGAACGGAGGCGAACTGACTCGTCTCTTCACTGAGCTTCTTCTGGCTTCCGTCTCGGACTTGGACTCTGGCCTGGGATGATCATGGACCCCTTTAGCCTGGAGGACCACAACAACAATAAATCTATTAGCAGCAAACAGAAAATATGGCATTTAGACCTTAGACTGCCAGGACCTTGTTTTAATTTAGACTAAATCCTAAATCTGGTGTGGACTTATTTAGATCATAAAAATATGGTTTTAGCATTCTCTGATTCTCTGTTTAGTCTAGTAGACATGATTTGTCTAGTTAGTGTGGTTAGCCCATTTAGCGTGTTTAGCACTGTTAGTTGTCTGTGGAGTCTGTGAAAGATAAAGGTGTGGACCTGGAAGAAGATGGCCTTTCCATCAACTCTCCAGAAGTTGGTGACAGGGTAACCACTGTGGCCACGACAGGGCAACAGCTCCAGGGTGGCGTTACAGCTCGGACACAGCTTCTCTGAAACACACACAGTCCGGTCAGGGCCCCATGGACACAGGTGGAGTGGACCTGAACAGGTTCTGGATCTGGTTTTCCTTACTCTGCTGTTTCTGTCGGGCCTTATCACAGATGGCGGGGCGCAGCTGCAGTCTGGATCCGTCAGGCAGCGCACAGGCTCGAGAACAGACCACCACACCCAGACAGGACTTCTTCAGGATCTGACAGTTGTGATTGTTGGTGTTTCTCATGGCCCAGCCGGACAGGTGTCTCTGAGCGTTCTTGTCTTCCGCTGGAAAATGACAACACTGATTAGGTAAAACTGACTCTGGACTCTCTCCATGGTGTCTGCAGGTCTCAGAAAGTCTTACAAAGAATTTACTTAATTTCCATCAGAAAGGTCCTGAAGAGGTTTTTAAAATTCCCAAACTTCATTTACAAAGATCTGGAATGTTTTTCTGCAAGATACTCTTTGACATAAGCCCCATACTGAGAGGAAAGCGACACAAAATATGCTTGTGCTGGTTCTAAATCTGGCTGGGATTGCTCCAACCCCCCCGTTTGGGACTGAGCGACATAAAGGATGAATGAATGAATGGTTCTGAATCTGTATTGGGACCAGTGCCCAATAGGCCTGTTCGGATGTTAGATGGTAATTATCGGTCTTATGAACCTGGCCCTAATGAACCCGCACCAGCCCTGTTTGTTGAGCTAAAACCAAGCCACCAGTTGGTTCAGTTGTCCATCACAGTCAGGCCCACATGATTTTATTTGTTGATGTTTAATTATCAAACTTAATGGGTGTTTGTTTCTCACCGCTGTAGATGTACCGAACATACCCATCCGTCCACTCCTGGAACGGGTCGAACTGCTTTGTGTCCTGCGCACACAGACAGACAGGTTAGTCTCCACGAGGGCTTTTGCCCTTTGTGTTGATCAGAAGTCAGAATGCATGTCCAGCATTTGCTGTATCATCAAACGTACATCACCTAAGAACAGTGTTTAACTTCTAAATGTTTGTCTGATATGAAAATAAAACCTGAATCCTTTACAAAATCCAGACCGAAGAATCCATTATAATTCAGATTTTAGAAATGCTGAAGTCATCTGTCTAGCAGAATTCCGTACACTTTTTTATGGTATTTAAGAAAATGACAATCTTGAATGTGGGCTCATGAGCTCTGAGTTTTGAAAATCCTTCTAAGACTGGAATAAACCATGCCTCATAAAAATGACATTCATATAAACAAAAACAATAAAACAGAAAAGAAAACTGAATTATGAGTCAAGAGTCCGGCAGCATAACTCCTCTGTGCCAAACTCTGTGCAATTTTAGAGTATTAAAGAAAATGACAAAATTTAAAATTTCTTGTATTCCTTTGCAATTAAAATCATATTTTCTACAAAGGTTATGTCCTTATCTATTATTATTTTAAAGCTCATTTTCACTGTCAGGTGTCATTATATTGCTACTACATCCTAATATTTTGTATAAAAAAACTCTCACATCTAAAATTAATTTTAAAAATGTGGACTCTCAGCATTAAAAGAGGAAACATCCAGTAGAACTACCAGCCAAACTCAGTACAGTTTTTACAGCATTTAAGAAATCTCAGAATGTCACGTCATTTATTCATTTAAGGTTTCATTTATATTTTCTGTATATTTCATGTTTTTATTTTAATGTTTCAAGAGGCACTGAGCTTCATGTTCAGTGTCTTAGGACCTGACCACCAGGATGAGGGATTTGTTGTCTGACACCTGGAATAATTATAAATAATTATTATATCAACACCATGAATATGCATTTAAAGAAAAATTAGCAATTAAAGCCTCCAACCAAACTCTGTACAATTTTCTGACCATCTAAAGAAATGTCGTGATTTATTCTTTGAGTACCAAGCTCTGTACAATTTGTACAAGAAATACAATGTGTATTTAAAAGAATCAAAGAAATGTCTGACTACATTTCTTCTCTGTTGTTTCTCAGCATCATTGTTGCTGTTGTTATCATAGGTAATAATCAATCAGAGATATTGATCAGAGGGACAGCTGGCTCCAGATCAGCTGTGTGACCTAGTGTTTTGGTTTTACTTGAAACAAAAATACAAAAACCAGTTTTCACTGTTGCTGCAACAACACAGAGTGAAGGGCCGAGTCAGCACGAGTCACATAACCGTCACACAACCTTCAGACAACCTTTGAATGACCCCAAAACCTTCCAGAAACAACCAGAAACCTTCAGATAATGATAAGTCTTAAATAACATTTACCATACTTTTAGAGAAACAGTTCAATATTATAGAATTGTGAAATTTTGGAAAACAGCCTAAATCAAATAAAGTGAAGTGGAATTGTTAAAAGATTTACATGAATCAGTTAAACTTTAAAACATTTACAACAGGATAATAATATAATAATGCTGCAAACTTTGAGATTTTTTTTTGTCAAAATGTGGTGCAGAGTTTATTTGGAGGCTGCTTTCATGACTTCAGTTGTCCTAAAATCTGGAAAACTAAAAATGACCTTTACAAAATTAATTAACATTAAGCATGTTTTTAGAATAAACTTTTTTCCTTTTCTTTTTTTAAACCAACATAATGTTTAACTGAAGCAATAAACAATCAGACCAAGATAAAATATGTTGTCATTTTGCACTGATACAGCAGAATTTATCATGAAAATAGATAAACTAAATAAATTATAATAAAAAGGAAGACATCGCAGACAATGTGGAGAAGCTTTAAACCAAAAGAGAAAAGGTTTACAGGGAATGAACATTTCTCTTAAATACTTAAAATATTGTATACAGTTTGGTTGGTGACTGATGGAGTCATTAACCATCATCATTCATCAGTTATTTTCTTTCTAAATACATTTTTAATGTGAATGTATTTTTGTATAAATGTCATTTTGGGAAACAATTTGTTCTGTTCCAGATTTATAATAATAATAATTGATTATAGTGCTCAACTAAACTGTGCATTTAATTTGACAAAAATTTCACAATTTGTTTATTAATTTGGACGGGATCATATTTCCTGTAAATCCGATGTCATCATGTATTTGTCTCCACTCTGTTCTAGCCATCTATCATCCATCCATCCATGTAGTCTACAAACAATTACAGTAAAATTTCAAAAGACGAATTTCTCTAAACCATTGAAAAGTAGAAATGATTACTGGCTCTAATCATGTTTAGTTTAATTTTCTTAAGTTTTACTTTTCTTAAAATAGTTAGTTATTAGTCAGTTATTCATATTTGTTTTAAGATAGTAAAACAACCAGGATGTGAATAAACTCCAATTTTTTCCTACAACCTCCAGTCAAATTTTGTACAGTTTTTGGAAATTTAAGAAAACCATAAATTATTACACTTCATTCACTGAACAGATTAATTATATTTTCTGTCTGTCTTAATATCCCTGATCTAAATGTTGTCTTCACACTGCCAGGTGTTGTTTTTACAACAGAATTCGTTTAAGATCGAACGCAGCGGGCCCTCTCGCTCCGAGCTTTGTGCCTAAAAATTTGTATTATAGTGCGTGTTCGCGTTTGTTGTGTTTATATTCTGGTGCGCGTAGTTCAACGTCTACGCTGCGCCCAAGATGCAGCCGCCACTGCCTTGTGGATGTACACGGTTTTGAGTCACAGATTTATCCTAATTACGTTAATCCAGTTCTTATTCTATTTTATTTTTATACTACTTTATTCTATTTTAGTTCCTAAATGTTATGTCACCCAATACTAGGTGAGAGAGAAGCAGTATTTCGATTTTTATGCATGTCCTGCACATATGGTGAACTGATAATAAAATTCTTGAAGCTTATTTTTATTTATTCAATCAAGATATTTCACCGAATTCGTCTTAATGACTTAAACCCAGATGTTTCTCTAAAAACGTGTTCAATATGAATTTCCTTCTAAAAGTCAGGTTAGCACACTGAGCTTTTTCTAGGTCACGAGTCTCTTCTTCACGGACTCTTCCAGCAGAGCTTCACATGAGAAATCGTAAATATGTTGTCTCCGCGCAAACCCTGTACATTTTATTTAGTTCAAACATATCACAAAACGTCGAACTCCTATGAAATCTTGCCAGCCTGTATACAAGCTCTCTAGCCTCCAGCCAAACTCCGTACAGTTTTTGTTGAAGAAGAAAATATCCGATAGCCTATTTAAACTATTTAAATACATTTCACGTTTGAGCTGTTTCCATACATTTAATCTCTTCACATCACGATCTACCTGCTGTTTTAAAGCTTTTGTGTGAGTCATTCGGACATGAAGTTAATTAGATTTTCATTAGTTCTGTTTTTGCCGAAAATGGATCAAATGTAAGAGAAAATAGGACTTAAAGTTTCTTTTGTAGGACGAACAGACCCGCCAATGGTCTCCTTGTTTAACTGTGATTTAACCCGACTTTAAACAGAGTAGGATATTAAAGGACGTACAGTAAACCCGGTGAAACGGACCGGAGAACAACTCAAACCCACTGGTTTTTACCTGTGGTAGTTTCGGGTCATTGATGTCCCATGTCAACTTCATTCCGACAGAGCACACGCAGTCCACGTCGTCGCGCTCCTCAGCTCGGGACATCGTCCTGATCCTGGCCCAGTCGTCCACAGTTCTGTTTCGGATCCTTCAGCTCTTTAAGGTCCAGACAGAAAAAAACATTAGCAAACTGGGTCCGGATAATAATAATAAAGTGAATGGTTTTATTCTGAAGCGTTTCGGACCGGAAGCTGCTGTTCAGACTTGATGAGCTTATTCTTTAATTAAAGATACAAAATATCCCGTGCGCAGGGCGCGTGCAGCTCCGGTGACTCTCAGGTAGAAGTAAAGAGACAGGTGAGACAGTCACGAGCCTCCAGAGGGAGGGAGAGAGGAGGGAGGGCATTTTAAGAAAAGGGACCAAGGAAGGAAGGAGGGACGTAATAAAAATGGAGAGAGTGAAGAAAAGAAGGATACGGGATTACAAGATGGTGCCCACTACTCCTACTGAACATTGCTGGCCTGAGGCATAGGCAGTGTTGGGCGGCCCACTGCGCATGCTTATTAGGAAGACGTCACGAAAATCTAACTCCGGTGTCTAGGCTCTGGGAAGGTTTTACAAATATAAACCCCCGTGGATTGAACACTCATAAAACAAGTAGCGATGATTGACCTGGTCTACAGTCCGGGGCGTCCTGCCAGCAGGTTTGCACACCTAATCCTAACCCTGTAGTACCGCGAGTGGCCACTGTTGGCTGAACAGGTGCGTGGCAGCGCCGCATCCAGCTCTCTACATCCTTGGGCTAATTCAGCAGGTAAAATTTGTCTTTGTTGCTGAAAGTGTATAAATAAAGTTTGAGGGTAAGTTTGAATGTGTCCTCAGTGTTTGAATAGCCACCACCCAAACTCTGTTTTCAGTTTTCTCACGTCATCTTTGAGCTCTGTCGCTGTAGTTTTTAAACACTGTCACACTTCAAAGTCAGTCAAATGCTGTATGAGGTTCGGTGCACAACACCAGTACCAGAACCCAACAGACACAGGACAAAACGCCCCTCCAGCCTACACCCACCTGAGAGTGGGCTGGAGTGCAGGAAGGGGGCTCGGGGGCAGGGTTAAAGTTCAGAAGACATGTTAAATATGGATTTTCTGCAGAAGAATAAACAGCTGTGTGACTCCCATGGGACAGACAGCCAGGTAGTCACAGGTGAGCAGCTCGTCCTCTGATGACTACTGAGATTGTTTTGGGAGAAACACTCCAGTGTTTACAGAACACACAGGTAAACAGGCGTGTGTGTTTCTCTGTATCAGACACACAACAGCTACACTGCACGTGCAGCACAAACACTGTCCTACACACATGCACCAGTGGAATTAACATGTCACAAAGAAACAAACAAACAAAACAGTCAATACATGCTCCTATAATAATAATTGTACTATTACCTCTACTGATCATACGGATAATATCAAACTATATAATGATATGGACAATACTGGATGTTCAGGTGCAGGACTGTAATCTAAAATCAGGAGGATGCTGAATTTTATTTTGACGTTGTTGCTGCTTGTTAAAGGGAATCGTTTTATTTTGTCGGCCTCACGAACAGGACGTTCTTGTAACTTTCAGACTACATCAATCTTATTTAAACGGATTCCTGCGCGGTCTTGACACTCATGAGATAATTGGCTGCAGCTGTGCGCGTTCACGAGTCGTCGAGAGGAGACAACATGGTAAATAAGTAATTGGCGTTAACGTCAACTGCACATGTCTGCGCGGTTTAAGTCTTATATCGCTCTAGTTACCGGCTAGTTTTAGTTTTAAATCGTTGTAAAATTAAACTGAGTTAGGTGCAGTAAAGTTAACATGACAGATTCATATAAACTAAGGAAATCGGCAGGTGTTTCTGCTGTTTATAGACTTAAATCGCCCTAAAATTAAATGGAGTTTTGTGCACTTAGGCTTTCACGTCAATATAAATAAAAAAATTCATTTAAAAAGATGTTTACAAAATCTGGCGACCTCTGCAGGTGTGTCTGCTAGTCTGTTTACCCCTCTGTCACACAGTGCAGGCTGCAGCACCCCCTGCTGTCTGTCTGCAGGAATTGAAAAATAAAACAGTTAAAATAACGTTTTATTCTTCATAAACACTTAACTTAAAACGTAAACAATTAATTAAATTTGGTGCATTGAGGATATTTAACATTAGTCAGTGTTTGTTGAAAGAGAGGAAACAAGTTTATGTTTTGTGCCAGTTTGACAAGAAGATGGAGGAGTGTCTGCTCCGTGGAGACCCGTCTCGTCTGGTTTCTGTGCTCCACTATGAAGGACTGACCAGTAACGCCCTCACCAGACTGGACCAACTTGTTACCAAGGTAACAGGATCTGGGTCCTGGTCTTGAACTGTGGTTCAGCAAGATTTAGTGGGATTTAAGACTGCAGTGTTTATGTATAAAGCCAGGAACAATTTATTACCTGGTGGAATTCAAAAACTATTTAATGAAAGGGAAGGGGGATACAATTTAAGGGGTCAGTTAAATTTAAAAATTCATGCTATACGTACAACCAAAAAAAGATTTTGCATTTCCATAAGTGGGGTAAAACTATGGAATAACTTAAGTGTAGACATAAAAAACAGTACTAGAATTGACAAGTTTAAACATAAATATAAAGGTATGTGTCAATCAAGATATATGCAAGAACAGGCTCAATGATTAATTACATGGACAATTGTGGGTGTGGTGTACACTTTGTAATAATTCTTTAGTATATTACGTAGAAGTGAATCATTTACTGCTTGCAAACCAATGATGGTAAGATGATGTCATGGGGTAGGACTGGGTAAGTCTGACTTCTTCCTACTCCATTCAAGCATGTACTAGGTATATGCAAATTGATATTGGATTATGTGTAAAATTATGTGTGTTGTCATATCAACTGTTTTTACATGCTTGAAAAAATAAATCAAATCAAGTCCAGACTGCTGAAATGAACCAATGTTCTCTCCTCTGTGAGCACAGTCTGAAGACAGTTTATTTTTTATTTGTTAAATCCTGACTTCAGCTTGAATAACAGCATGCTCTTCTTTTGAAATCAAGGTGAACTGAGTTGAAAGCAAAGAGGCATCACATTAATGAGTTAATGTCTGTGTTCCCCTATCACAGGACAAATAATGCAAGAAGTGTTGAGGGCTCTCAACATGTCTTAGTATGTAATTGGGATGGTTTAAAATAGTCTTGCTCCTTACCTGATGCAATTCCAGGTTTGGGTTTAAGGGTGTGTTGCTATGAAAACAGATTAATTTTAAACAACGCTCAGTGAATGTAAAATCCCATCTCATGTCGAACCATTTACCAGGAAAACGTGGTTTATAACGAATGGGCCTGTTCTGTTGTGCTTATTGTTTGTTGTTGACCTTTCTGCAGGAACTCTGTGGCTCTGGCTTCAGCAGAGTCCTGGTGGTGGTCAAGGCTTTAGAGATTCTGTCTCAGAACAAAGACGACTTGCAGGAGCTCATCAACCACGGACTGACTGCCCAAGTAATCTGTGCTATTCCCTGATCAATAATCAGTCTGTACTAATTACTTACCACTCTGTGCTAATCAATAATCAGTAGGGTTAGTAGCCTACTATAGTGATACCGTAGTAGTCTACTACTCTATCACTATAGTAGGCCACTATAATGATTCTGTAGTAGTAGTACTACAGTGATACAGTAGTACAGTAGTAATTTTAAATTAATATGTGGCGGTCAAGTGTTGATATTGTGGCGGCTCACCTCAAATAAATCAGTGAATACACTGTGGCGCGTGTAAATAAAATTATTTTTTCTATCGCATTTCAAGAAGTATCTTACGATGCTTTTATCGTGCGTGTTCATATCGTGATGATGAAAATACGATTTATCGGTCAGCCCTAATGGTCAGTCTCTACTTATAAATGCTGTTTCTTTTCTACTGTAATTTGTTGTTTATTTTGTAGGTGTGTTTGTGGTTCAAAGCCATCCATGACCTGCTGACCTCTGACTTCCACAAAAGCTCCACCCCCCTGCTGAGCCTGACTGAGGAGTTCTACGATTACTTTCTGGTGAGGAGCATGCTAGGTAATGAAGGCTCCGGTGGCTTTAGTCACATGACACCACACGTCAGCTGTGCACTATAGGGGAGAGCCAGGCAGGTGAGGTCTATTCACAGTACTGTTCTGGTAGAGGAGCCTGGCCCACAGGGACCTGATGCGGACCACAGGTCAGTCTTTTGGCTCTGTGGAGCTGTGAGGCCCTGCACAGTGATTGACAGGCAAAGCCTCAACAGCCGACCGACCTGACTCCACGGACCACTGTAGGTACCAGATCGGCTCACTTACAGCTGACGACACACGTTATGATTGATGTCGGAAAGTGTGTGATAATTGGTGCATGGTTGCTTTGTCATTACACCTACTGTAAACTTGGCACTAATGTCTCACATCAATATTATGTTTATAACAGATTGCTAGCTGTTGGTCAGCTAAGAACAAACATAGCTTCTAATTTCTCACATCAGTCTTATGTAGAGGTGGGAAGTGGTAAAGTACAAATCTTGTATTCTCTTGGTTTCTAAAATCTCCACTGACTTTAAACTCTTTCTGTCCATCAGCTGCTGGGTCAAGCTTCTCTCCCTGGTTGGTTCCTTCAGTTTTTCATCTTCAGTCACAGTTTCACTTTCTCGTGTCAACCTCTCCGCTCACCTGTCTACATCTCTACCTGTCTACCTCTCAGTCTGTCAGCTGTCTGAGGTCCTCCTCCAGTTGTCTCGAGTTGCTATGGAAACTGAAATCTACTTCCCACTGAGACTGGAGGTAAATTCTAATGGTTTGCCCCAATCTGCGCTCTAATGGCCTGTGCCAGTCTCTAATGGTCTCTCCTGGTCTGCGTGTTTCTTTTCAGGCCATCAGAATCTTTAACAGCATCCTGGGTTCTTTGAGTCGAGAAGGGTTGAGACTTTTCCAGAATGACGAGAACCAGAATGAAATACTGTAATACCCTGTCTGTCAGAGCATCTGTCTGTCCATCCTGTACAGCCAGTGGTGGTTCTACATTGAATTACT